AAGGAACGCTTCGGTTTAAATGCCCAGTTGAGCACTGCATGTAGCTGCATGCTATTTCTTAAAGGCCAAGATAAATTCCTCCCCTTATCTGAGATGCAGGGAAGAGGACTTTTCCTGTTTAAATAAATGAGTTTTAATAAAGCTGTAGAGCACTGTCATACAACTTACAATCAGAATGCAAGGAAAGGTCCAGGCTATAATAGAAATAAAACATTACTGTGGAATTTCTTATGGCAGGAACCGTCTAGTTGTTTTTGATTTGTACAAGAGGTGCTGCAAAAGGATTTGGGCTTTAGCTGCTGCTGCAATAAAATATTTAATGACAGTTAATAATAAGTTCCTCTGAGCTAGATGAAGGGGAAGAGAGAGGTGACTGAAGCATTCAGGTTGCAGGTGCTGACATAGCCACAAAATTTCACTGCCCAAAGCCTCACCCAACTGCTTCACCAATGTCACAGCAAACAGGAATGCACAACCAGCCTCTCAACACCTTCCAATAACATTTCCAAGGATGACATCACCTCACCACCATTGTTTGATTGACAGATTTACTTCATTTATAGTCCACCTTTCTTACAGCAGTCAAGGCAGTCAACAATACTTAAAAAGACATAATTATAATAAAAAACAGCAATACACACAATGAGTATACCAAAGATGTTTTAATATATATACTACAGAAATGTTAAAGACTATGTAATCCAGGATTTCTGGTTGGTGGTGACTCACAACGAACGCACCCCATTGAGCTCCGATGGGGGTGATTCGGTTCGGGGTGGCAGGGAGGGGGATTGCCCGGCTCCAACCTCCCCATGAAGCTCTTGGAGGGAGCTTCTAGCCTGGAGCGCCGAAGGGGCAGACTCACAACGAACGCACCCCATTGAGCTCCGATGGGGGTGATTCGGTTCGGGGTGGCAGGGAGGGGGATTGCCCGGCTCCAACCTCCCCATGAAGCTCTTGGAGGGAGCTTCTAGCCTGGAGCGCCGAAGGGGCAGCTCCCGAAGTTTTGGCTTGGAGAATTGAGCTCCTTTTTGCTCTGAAAGGCCCTACTGTCCCGAGGCCAGCAATGGCGCTTAGAGACATTACTGGAACAGAGCATACAAGGACTTCTACGTGGTGAAGTGATCCAGCGATGAAAGAAACAGTGAATTAGTTTCAAAAAGAAAGACATACGCAAAGAGGGTGGTGGGCTTAATACTTAAAACATCCACAGCTACAACAGTCTAATCCAAGAAGAGGAGATAAAAATATTGAAAGATGTTCCATATGAAATACGAAAAAAGGAAGCAATAAAAAAGGAAGCAATACAGAAATATTACAACATTTCTTCAAAAG